CTGCTCAGTGCTTGCCTGCTTGAAGCTTGGGCCGACAGTGTAAATCTCGTGGATGATGTCTTCCATGCCATGGATGCCATACCTGGAGCCAGTATCAGACTGCCTGGAAACGGCTCCAAGAGGTGCGCGCCCTGCTAGGGCAGCCGCTTGCCCAAGTTGTCTGAGATGATGTCGTTCGATGCGAGGGGAAGGCGCTGCTTGTTCACCTGCGAGAGGCTAGGGCTAGCAGGAGCCAGGCCCGGACTCGTCGCACAACGAGGGCCTTGCCGAAGCCGCGCTTGTAGACAAGCTCACGCACCGTTTTCAAGGATGGGTAGCCATAGGTCACATACGGCTGGACGAGCTTGAGCATGTTCAGGATGGGCTTGTTCACCTCAGCGCGGCTTGATGCGGCTCGGCATGGCAGCAGAATCGCTAGCAGCCGCAACCGGCAGGCCTTCAGGAACACGCCATTGTGCAGCTGCTTGAGTCGGAGCAGCTGGAGCACCTTCCTCCGGAGCCGCAATGGCAATGGTTGCAGCTGTTTACGTCTGCTGCCAGTGTCGCGGGACCGCGCCTGGGCTTTGGGCTCATCTTGATGATGCCCGCAATGCGGACAACGAAGAGCAACTTCGCCTGTGAAGAGGGCCACGGCAGCAACATGCCGCATCTCGGCGGCCCCCACTGCTTTGCACGCCTCCGGCTCCACAAAGAAGTTTCCGTTGAGCTTCGCCTCCCGGCGGAGCTTCACGAGCTCCGATGCGGTGTCGGCATACTCCTGGCCGGCACGAGTTGCAAGCCTGCCCACTCCGGGTCCAGAAGCAAAATCTCCCTGGCTCCTTCTCGTAGGCCTCGGTCCGCTCTTTGAGCTTCGCCCGCTCCTCCTGAGCAGCATTTTATCTCTGCAGAATGACTCCATCCGCTTTCAGAGGAGCCCAGCCTGTCGCTGCTTCTGCTTCTCTTCGAGGGCCTGCTTCTTCTCCTGGGAGCGTTCCGCCACCAGGGCCACACAATGGCGCACATCACAATGCCTACATGAAGATGCCAGGCCCGGCGCTGCTGCCAGCTTGTCGTCCCGTGCCTGCCGGAGCTTCACCAGCTCGGGCACTGCCGCGCCCTCGGGCACCTCCGCCTCAAACAG